TATTAGAATATTTCTATTTTAGTTTGCGAGGTATTTGTGCCAGCAAATTACAAACGATTTACCCGATAAATTTGGATCGTCTGATGAAAGTGATGACGACGAAGAAGAAGGGTGGATGGGGTTCGTATTATAAAAGTTTTTGTTTGTATTCGAAAACTATAGTCATATAATTGTTTTCGATCAGAACGTATACATGAGATTAGAGATGATCAATATCGTCTAATTTTATGGTAATTTTGTTGATTTACAAAATAATACTAATTCAACCTAGTGATGATTTCGACAGGGACGTCGATTTCGAAATGCGTGGCCCATTCTCAAATCCTAATATGATTGAGGTAATAAAAATTTCCTATATTAATCTTTTTATTTAACATAATTTACTTTTATTTTTTTTATTTTTTTTTTATTTTTTATTTTTATTATTATTTTTATTATTTTTATTTTATTTATTTTTATTTGTATTTTTTATTTTTGGTTATTATTATTACTATTATTGTTATTTTTTTACTAGAGTGATCATTTCGAAAATCGACGGTCCTCGTTGGGTGACGATTTTGGAGCGGATAGTGATGAAGATGTATGTCCTCTTTCTTGTTTTATATAATATTTTAAATAAGTCATTCTGATTGTCACATTTTTTTAACAATTTGTTTAGGATTCATCTACACAATGTTCAACGTCGAATATGCACGAGAATAAGCAATAGGGTTGCGGCCCAAACCATTTCTTTGAATTATGACATTACTACATAGTTTGGGTTTGGGAATCTGGATTTCTACTTAATTTGGGTTCGCAACTAAAACCCAAATATATAACCTATTTTCGATCAATAGTGTCAAACTCAAAAACCAATCAAATTTGTTAAATTAATGTTAATAAATACAACATATGCGCATTTAATACCACAACCAACCAGGAACGGATTTTATAAACGGAGGTCAGGATTAAGTCTAAATAGATATTTATATAGTACAAAAAGATGGATGATTATTAATCTGATGGTCTGGTAAATCCTATATAATATAGGCTCTTTGTAGTAATAAGTATTATTTAACAATCCTAGAGGTTTTAAGATACTAAATGGTCATAGTCTAATAATATGATAGGTACCCAAAAATTCGATACACCCATGTGCGTTATTTCGAGATAAAAAGCCAAGTTGCTGAGTTTATTTATTGCTATATATATAGTACATAAATTTGTAATATATTTTATAAAGTGCGCGGTATTCCGGAACACACTTAGTCATTATTTTGAAACCAAATATGCCGTTTTTAAAGGATCTGATTTTCGAAATAATGCTCATGCCCGTTTTGAATTTTTAGTGTATAAGATAAATGAGTAGATAAAAGGGGAATCGATAGAAAAAAACAAGCAAAATTTTTGTTAAATATATATTTTAATAACTATAAATATATATATATTAAATTTAATAAAAATTTTATTGTAATTCTATATAATTTTGGATTAAATTTAATTTTAAATACAGTAGATACCACTTAAAGCCAATATATTTTAAATTTTATTAATAATATTTAAATTTTTATTAATAAATTTAAACTGTTATATTTTTTTATATATATAAGCACCAAAATTTTAAATTATATATAACTTTTAAGTAATATAAGTTTTTAAAAATATTTAAGACATTTAAATAATAGTTTGTAGATTTGTATTTTTTTGGTATTAAGGTGACTTTTTGGCTGCCTGCTTTTATTCAATTATTAAGTTAACTAACTTATTATACAATTACTACTTCTTTTTTGAACAGTTTATATAGTATACATATTGAAGAGTATATACTAGTTACATATACAATTTTTGGTTGTTTATTTAGTAGTCTGTTTATTATTAAGTTTTATATTAATAGCTATATCTATAACCTAACTAGGTGGTTACTTATTTAAACTCTTTGTATATTTGTAAAGCATTTTATAAACTGGGCAAGAGATATTATATTTTTCTAATTTTTATATATATATTTAGTTTAAAACTTTAGACTCTTTCAGAAATAGTATTTTTATTTTTTGAGTAATATTTTTTAGTTTTTTATTCTTAAAAACAAATCTGTTAGAGCTTTTTATATTTCACATACAGCTAATTTAGGCTTTAGTAATTTATACCAAGTTTAAGAACTTGTATTTATAATTAGTCTTTTAACCTTTGCTACTATTATTTAATATTTGCTTTTATAGATTTATCTAAAATTCTGATCTTTACTTTATAGCATATCTCTAGTACTTTAAAGCAGTATCATTTATTATTTAATTTTTTTTTATTAGAAGCTTATCTTTTTTTTTTCTTAATATATATTTTAATTAGGTCTTTATATATAATTTTAAATTTTTTACTCTTTTTTTTTCTAAAAAATATAGTATATTCTGCAATTTTTTTCAAACTCAATTTAAATAGCTCAAAAAAATTGTAATCTGCTTTCAGTATATTGAGTTTGATTTAATATCTTTTCTTTTAGTTCAAATTTTAACAGCTTGGTTAGTGAATTTATTTGTTTACAGATTATTTTACAGAAACTTGTAAAAAATTGATATTGTGTTTATAACTAGCAAATAATGTTTTTAAGATATAATTAGGTTTATTATAGGTTTATAACTAGTAGTTATTATGTTATAACAATGTTTTTCTAAATTAATAACTAGTTAAAACTAGTTATTAACTAATTATTATAATGTTATAATAATGTTTTTAAAAAACATTATTATAACATTATAATAACTAGTTAATAACTAGTTTTTAATTAGTTATTAACTAATAATCATAATGTTATAATAATGTTTTTTTAGAAAAACATTGTTATAATATAATAACTTTTTTTTTTTTTTTTTTAAAAGCGAGGCCGTGCCTCTGTTCTTTTATTAAAATTCATATGATATTACAAATGTTATTACAATACTTTATGTTTTCTAATATATGGAATTAAAGGCTAAAGCTACTTTACTTTTGACCTAAGCTTTTGCTAAGATAGGTCGACGACCTCATTAGTC